CCCCCCCCTTCCCCTGCCATCACGATAGTCTTTTCTTCTGACACAACCACACACTGGACTGACCTTGTAGTGTGCACTCCATGAGTTTGTCACTGGGCTCGTAGTCCTCTGGACAGACATGGTGGCACCTCCCGGTGAGCTGGTACAGGCCTGGCCGGCACCGCGCGCATGTCTCACTGTTCACACACGCCTCGCACTCCGCAGGGCACCCTGTAAAGACAAAAGCACAGTTATGCATCTCTGAATAGAGGGGCCAAATATAACACTGAAACATGTTTTTATGTGCGCTTCATTCCAAAGTCAGAATTGTTCGGTAAACTGCATGATGAATGTAGGATAAATATGAGGTAAATAGAGTAGAATAAGGGGCAAACCCCACATTGTATCCCTGTCCCTGATGAATGTGAACTCTAAACACTCACTGGGAACACACTCCCTCTGTGTGTCGCTGCGGACCAGCCCCTCAGGGCAGTTCTCCTGGCACTTGCCCAGGTGAAGGTAGAATCCTGCTCGGCAGCGTGTGCAGAAGTTCTTGTTGAAGCAGGAGTCGCACTCCGACCTGCACTCTGAAACACAGACCCACCGCCAGCGTTTATTTAAACTGTACAAGTTATCATGTGTGTCCTGGTGTTAAATATACAGGGTGTCAGTGTGTGTGTGTGCATTTGTGTGTGCATGCCTCACTGGGAATACAGTCAGGAATATATAGGCCACCGCAGTCAGATGGATTTATGATTTTAAGTAAAGCAACACTTGGTTTCATTTAAAGTCGCCAAAAGGAAACGCACTTAACAGGTATCAAGTTATATGAGTTCATACTGAAAGATGGTATAAATAATGCCATCTTTCACAAGCAGGTTATGAAACTGTTGTTTGTAAAGAAGGGAGGACAGTTTGTTACTTACTTGTGCAGGTGTTTCTCTCTGGGGAGCGCGTGCCATAAAAGCCCGGAGGACAGGAAGTCATGCACACCCCGATCTGCTTCATCCCAATCCTCTCCAGATGCATGAAGAAGCGAGGCTTGCAGGACAGGCAGCCATTGTAGTCAGAGCAGGTCAGACAGCCACCCTGCTGGCACCCTGAGCTCACACCAGAGATCTCTGTTGACAGGAGCAGTGATGGGGGGGTTAGGTTAAGTATGAATTTCACATCATATAAAATTACTATTTGGGGCATATTAAACAATGAAAGTTGAATTGATCTTAATGGATAGCTTGCTAAATATGCACCACTATTTTTTTTTAGCCAAGGACCCAATGCAGTCCAACAAGTCCCATTTTTAGTCCTTGACAATAAGTCACCAAGTGGTAAAATTCAGAACCTTATTGAGCCCTACTATATTAAACTGCTCTAGCTTTTCATCCCATTCATACCAGCCTCTTTAACACATATACCTGCAGGTTTTAAAACTTTTATCTTGCTACCTAACACAGCCAATGAACAGAGAATTTCCTCCAATGTACCTGCAAGTACTTGAAAAATAAAGTTCCTCCTATTGATGTCTGCCATATGATATGAATGTCATTTGTGCAGAGTACAATGGAAAATCTCATTTTGTGTTGTTGTTAAAGTTGTCTTTTTTGTTAGGTTGCCATGCACTAATCAGGATTAGGCTTATAACATAACGTACAAACTACAACCCAGACTGTTACGAGGGTTTATACATTTCAAAACAGTGCAGATGTCAGACTGTCCTGTGGCACCACTGTGCATGCTATGTTTGCTTGACTCTACAATACCACAATAAGTACATCAATGAGATGCGATAGCTTTAATGTTTGTGGAGCAACACTGTTGCATTATGGTATCAGCGTGTGTATCGAGTTCCATAACCAGTTTCAGTAAATTCAAAATAAAAAAAATCAGTAACAATGACTTGATAATTTAAAAACAAAGAAATCTATTTTTTGTTAACATTTGGCAAACATGTAAGTTTATTGTTTTACGTATTGAAATCTTTCAGTCAAGTTTAGTTCAAGTATTGTCATCTGTATCATGAATGGTTATTTCCAGTATCAGAGGAATAATCACCTACTGCCTTATTAGCACAGTGCCAATGACAGCTGATTAAACTTTGTCTACAACCCTGTTTATGTACATAAGTACTGTAGTGTTTACTTCATGTTGATATATTTTACAGTGGGGTTTTCATCCCCCACTCTTCACTTTTTTGTGGGATGATTCACCAAACATTGTCTGCCCTGGATGAAAGCTCTGAATATAAGTTTTAATCATTTTAATTGTATGTTGACAATTTGTCACAGACCTGTTTAATTTCTTCCAACTTACAGCCTCTGTGTTAAAATAAATCTTAAAAGGATAAACACTAAGGGCTTAAAGTCTTAAAGAACTAATTGTATTAAAGAAGAATTCAATTCAGGGTGATTTCTTGCAGTCAGTTTCTGGGAAACGGTTGTATATCATCCTTTTCAGGTTGTGATTGCACTTAGTTGACAAAAACAGTAATAAAGAGGTTTTGGGTGGTTGGATGGTGACTTGACAGGTTCCATGATGTTGGGCAGTTCAGAGAGGATGTTTTTAGCTTCTGGTCCCGATGTTTAAGTAACAGTATAACAGTTGTTATGAGGAAATTAGTTTAAATCTCTCCTCTGTTAGAAATACTATTGTAGAGTTAAATCCAGAAAGTTGTACTGGGCTTTAGGGACAGGCTTGTTACAGCCTTTAATTAAATATATATATATATATATATATATATACTATAGGAGCGACACCTGTGACATAGAGTCAATATGTAGTCAATAGACATGACAGAAGTTCTATGTTTTACATACTTGTGCACCCAGGGCACATTGGTTCTCCATTCTCAAAGGCACTGATTGGAAAATGTTGCAGTAGTCACACATGGTAGGCAAATTGAATGCAATCCCTGTAAGCGTCCAAGGAAATGGTTTTCCTCTCCAGCCTTGGCATCTCATGCCACTGCATTAAGCTGGCCCTCTAAGTTCAGGGTTTGGCTGACAGTTTACCATAGATCATGGATACTTTGTTTGAAATATCTCAACAATCTTTACAACTGCTGTCCATTTGCCCAGATGTGTTCCTGCCAAGATGCCCTGATTCACAGAAGTCTTAACACACAGGAATTTGGCCTTGCCCTCACACTCGCACCAACAAAACCTCAGTTGGACTTGCATAACACACCAACAAAGTCACATATGAACAAACACATTCACGTGCCTGCACACACGCAAACACAGATGGTTCATGGAGAAAATAGAACTGTGCAAAAAAATAGAAATATCGTGAAAGAATGTGCCATAAGTATTGGATGGTTAACACTTTATAGGATTCCATCATGTGACACATTTTTATAATTCTATGTTCAAGATCTAAATCATCCCATCTTCATCCTGCCCCGAACCGACCTGATAAACTATCCAGTATACGTGGTTTCCACTGTTAACACCCAGGCACCGACATGCCTTCACTTTTGGATGCATCATCACAGACGGGAAGCTTGGAGCTCGGGTTCAGTCCCTGCATTGTAATTTTGGCTAGTTGACTCAATGGTCATTGACTCCCAGCTCAGTCTTTACCCGCGTCTTTCCTTCTGAAGTGTGAACTCATTCACCCTTCACCAACTAATCCTTCCATCCTCCCTGATATCTCTGCAAGTGTTAGCTATCTGCATCCTTGGAGGAAGTTTGGATTCTTAGCACATGTCAATTAATGGGTACTGAGTCAGTCTGGAAAGGCAGGAGTCTCCTCGTGAACTAAACCTTCAGCTTGAACAGAAATTAATTAATGCTTTGGTGCTGCCGTCCAACAACAGCATTGCATCATGGCTGAGTATATGTGCATATGCTGTATCGTACAATGTTTGATCTTTTTCAGCCCTTAAAACACATTTTCAGCATATATTTTTGAATAAAAACAAACATATACTAATTAAAAAAATTGTAATTTCATATAAAGCACATTGTTGAGACTTTTTTCAGTCTCAGGATTCAAGAAACCAAGTGTTTGAGAACTCTTAATAGACCCTCCTGCCCCCCTCTCTTACACTGTGTTAAGAGGCTCTTTAAAATTGTTTAGGGGGGGAAATAAACATTTAAAAGGGAGAATCTGTGTAGGGTATAAAGCTGACTACAACATCTATATATATCCTACATTAGCACAGGACAAACATCTGAGAATAATCAACCTATTAATACAGTAGGAATTGTTCCTTGTCCTTTATTGTAAAAACGTCTGTCTGGTGTCATTTATATGTCTGTTTGCTGCAGTTTAAATAAGATCTATATTGGCTGTTTCTCTCTGATGAGCAGTAAAACCATCCTCACTCAGTTCTTCAGGTCTGACCTAAACTACATTGAACAGAGCTGCCAAGAGCAAGTAACCCCAGGACCCCTTTGAAACTACATAATAAACACACAGTTAACCCCGGATGCTGCAAGTCCCTGCTCTTTTTTTAAATTTCCACTTTGGTGGTCACAAGGGAAGAAATGACAGCAAAACCTGTCCTGGTCCGGACTACAGATCTGAGCTCAATGATTAAATGTAAAGATATGTAGAGAGACGTTTCAGCCCCAGGTGGCAGGGATAAAACATCACTTCGAGATCTATTGTTGTATATCACAGTCAGTCTTCGGCCACGCTGGCAAGCAAATATTCCAGTTTTCAATGCTCTTCTCTAACAGCTTAGTCACAGAGCACATCTGGAGACCCTCAATGATAAAGTGAGCGTAGGAAGAGTAGAAAAATATACTTTATTAATACTTATTTCATGGTGTCATGGAAATTGGCTTGCCATAGCTCAAGAGAGGAGACATAATGTTGGACCTTGGGGAGATATATGGGAAATGAAATACCTTCACTAAGTGTTTTCAGTGTGGAGCATCTCTGGTGGTTTCATGGAGCCTACTGTCAAATGTGCACGAACTCAGATACAGATAAGATGGGGCATGATTTCAAATTACAATATTGAGTTCAATTTTCATAAATGTGAATATGTGATCTGAACATGGAGGTTACTTATCTAAAGCTGTGAATATACACTTGAATATTGATCAGGCCGGACAACCGGGCAGCACACTCTGTGCATGAAGTCTGCTGCTCTGGCCGCTAGAGAGCGAAGTGAACCAGATACTGTGCGCAAAGAGCAGCTGCTGCAAGCTTCAGGTGACAGCCAGGCAGAACAATTCATTCATCAAACTAAGGCTCAGAGGAAACATAGTAAAAGTGGACTAAAAATAGTGACATTACTGAAGGTATACCATGATTGGACTACACAACCAAAGAGCTAATAGCGCTGGAGTTTGCGCTGGAATTTTATCAAGAATCGCTCCCCCGTTTTATAGCAGCAATTTAGTGCGTTGAAGTGCTTAAACCATGATGGAGAAGTGTAGGGTGGCTTTAATAATTCCTAATAATCTGGAAGATCAGTGCAATCACTCTTAAAATTTGCCAAAATGTGTTTTTTTTTTTTGTCTTAAATGATAAAATAGAGAGAGAGACAGAGACAGAGAGAAAAAAGTCAAATTTTTTAACCTTCCAAATAACATTATTTTAAATATCTAGAATAGACTGAATATAGAATTTACAGTTTTTTGTTGGTAAAATATGTAGAATGTCGGCGGGAGACCGTTGTGACTTAACGCCTCTGTGAGTAAAACAGGCCAATAAATGCTGAAGAAATATGTAAGAAAATTAAAAAGAATATGCTTAGTGTGTGCGCACACTGGGAACCGCACTTTGACCTACTCACGTTTATGTTGCCGGTGCCTGGGGCTGCTGTTCTGCTGACAACCAGTGTAATCCATGCAGTGCAAGATGATCAAAACAAAGGAAATCAGTTGTAATTGCATAGTAGCCCAGAGATGAGACTCGTAAAGCCAATGTCAATGTTCACCAAGTCACTAATGGAACAAGATTCCGTTTTCTTCCCCCCAGACGGAGGCAGATTGTGCAGGGTATAGGCAATTCCTAGACACAGCAGGACCCCCAGCTATGTGGTGATATGTGGTGATGGTAGTGTACTGTGGCCCAATGATGCCTGGGCCGCTTAGCATGTAACATCCTGGATAGGATCTTCATATGTGCCAAGAAAGCCAGAGTGAGTCAGGGATCCGCTATCCGTGCTGTGTTGAAGAACATCCCTTCGAGAAAAAAAAAAGAAAACACGCCAAAAAGCTCGATTCTCATCTGGTGTGCGCAGGAGGAAAGCAAAATCACTCATTGGCGTAGGTCAAGAAGATAATTAGAATTAGTATTTATGATTAAAATGATTCTCAAAAAGTTTGAGATAACATTTCCATGTGCAGGACTCCAAATTGACCTTCCTCTTCTCCGCGTCTCTCTCAGTGGAGATGCGCCGCGCGTCCCGGTGCGTGTGCGGACACCCTAACGTGCCAGGCGCGGTGAGGGTCTCTGCTTCATCTCAGCATCAGCTAAAGCGCAAAAAGTAAAAGCCATCACAGGACCAACACTGGTATTACAAAGAAATATCTAAGTTGAAGTTTCGTTGTTCTACTGTTGGCTGTCAAACACACACCTCCTCTCCCTCGCTGTCGGCGGCAGGCAACTGAACAAAAGTAAATCTCCGCAGTTTCAGCGCTTTTCTGCTTTGCGTGCAGGACCCATTCACTCCCCTTTCTGCCGGCCGGCTGATGACTTCAGCCCTCTGCTGTCTCTCTCTCTCTCTCTCTCTCTCTCTCTCTCTCTCTCTCTCTCCCCTATGAGCTCCAAAGTTTATTTAGAGGGCAAGCACCCCCGCGTCAGAGAGAGAGAGAGAGAGAGAGAGAGAGAGAGAGGTTAAGTTATTTCAACGAGGGTTGTGTACTGTTGCTTCTCCGTGATTCCTGTCTGACGTTGTGTTCCCAGTGATGCTTTAAATGTGCATCTTTTAACATGAACTGAATGTAAAAATTACATGATTGAAGAGAATGCACTCACCTGCTACCCAGCTTCTTTTTTGAACTGAAAAAATAGCCAATATAGTTAAAATTGGTATGTGTTTGAAAAGTTTTTTTTGAAAGTTAACAGAAGAAATGTTATTTTTTAAAGTCCTTCAAAAATATTTTTTATTTGGCTCAACACATTCTGGTCACAATCCCAGCAGCCAGATTACATTAGTGCAGAATGAGGAAAAAGAAGAGCTCCGTTATGACAGCAGGTGTTGTAACTTGATGTCAGTTTGACTTTTTCCCTCCAAAGAGAGAGGTGACCAAATGTCGTTTCCTTATCCTGACTGAGACTGTGATTTATCCACAATGTAAGATTAGCACAAATATTACTGACTTTACAGTGAATTTATAATTATATGGATTTTTAAGGATACATCTGTGCGTGTATGATACTGTTCTAATATTACACCAGGAAAATGGTTCTTTCAAAGGATTGAGCAGTTGGAATTATATTTATTTTCAATATTCAATTTCAATTATGACATTTGAAATTGATCTGCAGAAACGCACCTAAAGATGAGCCAGTGTACCAGAGAGTAATCTATTCATGTACCAGTAGTTTATCGGATACTGTGTGGGATAATCCCTTTCTATTCCTGTGCAATGACTTTAAAAAAAAAAACCTTTTTATTCAAGCCACAGTGAATGTTTGGTGTGGAGGGAGAAAACCCCCCCGTTGACACCAGCCAAAGAAGCAGCAGCATCTCATCTTATTACCTCTAGAGGGAGTTAGCTCCATAAAAGCTTGAGGCACATTGTCATAACAGACCAGCATTGGTGTCAGTGAGTTATGGTAAACTGTTGCACTTGACCTTTTCCTTGCAAATGTTTGTATTGTTAGGCTGACTAAGATAAAAAAATATCCACAAAACAATTAGAATGCATATCTTATAAATCACATGGAAGGCCCATTCAGGACTATTTAGTGCATTGATAATACATTGCCCATCATCATTCAGTTGTCACTTCTCAGTTTGGGAGTTTTCCTGATAATTGGTCAGAGATGCAGAGACGTTGTATACATCCAGGTTTAGTGAATTGCGGCCTCTGGAGATTGGAGCAGAGCAGTGTAAAGGGGGGTTGAAGCTTCATTTGTCTAACTGGTGTGTTGATGTTTAGGGGGGGGGGGGGGGGG